GGTGTAATTTACTTTCCACCTAAAAAATTTATTTTTAACATTTCCTATAGGAAAAGTATGTTAGTGATAATTCGCTCCATTTTTGTTTGAAAAAAGCTTCATTTTGAAGGATATTTTCACTGGATATGCATGTGTGGTTGACAATTTTATTCTTTCAGCATTTTAAAGCTATCACTACTATTTGACTTGCATAGTTTCAGATATGATTATCTTTGTTCTTCTGTATGTAATTAATCCTTTTCTCTAGCTACTTTTACGATTTTTCTCTCTGAAACTGGTTTTTGGCAATTTTATTATGATGTACCTCAGTGAATATATGTTCTATGCTTTATCCTGCTTGGGATTTAAAATTCTTGGATCTTGGATTTATTCTTTTCATTGAATTCAGAATATGTATGGTCATTATTTCTTCTCATATCTCTGTTTCTGCTCCTCTCCCCTCCTCTCATTCCAGGACTCATATTACATGTATGTTAAGGCAACTTGGTATGTCCCACAGGTAACTGAGTACTTTGTTCTTGTTTGTCTCTCTGTGATTTATAATATGGTTTTGATTGTTATCTTCAAAATTCATGGATCTTTCCTTCTGTAGCACCTAATCTATTTTTGCTCCCATTCAGTGAAATTTTCTTGTTAGATAGTGTATATTTCAGCTCTAGAAGTTTTTTTTTGGTTTTTCTGTAAATTTTACATTCTTGAGTGCTATCTTTTGTTGTCTTAAGAATGTTTGTGGCTGAGCTCAATGGCTCAGCCTATAATCCCGGCACTTTGAGAGGCCAAGGCAAGTGGACTGCCTGAGCCCTCATGTTGGAGACCAGCCCGGGCAACTTGGTGAGACCTCGTCTCTAAAATAAAATACAATAAAATACAATAAAATAAAATAATTAGCCAGGCGTGGTAGCACATGCCTGTAGTTCCAGCTGCTTGGAAGGCTGAGGCAGAAGGATCACCAGAGCCCAGTAAGTCAACACTGGGGTGGCCATGAGTGTGCCACTGTACTCCAGCCTGGGGAACAGAGTGAGACTCCAACTCAAAAAAAAAAAAAAAAGCCAGGCTCGGTGGCTCAGCCTGTAATCCCGCGCCTTTGGAGGCTGAGGTGAGTGGATTGCCTGAGCCCGCGGGTTCGAGACCCGCCTGGGCAGTGAGACCTCATCTCTATAATAGATCAAAAAATCAGCCGGGCGTGGTAGCGCATGCCTGTAATTCCGGTTACTTGGAAGGCTGAGGCGGAAAGATCGCCGGAGCCCAGCAGGTCGAGGCTGCGGTGGCCGGGAGCGGCCACTGCACTCCAGTCTGGGCAACAGAGTGAGATTCCAACTCAAAAAAAAAAAAAAAAGAGTGTTTGTTACGGCATATAGTTATTTATAGATCCATTTTCGAGGTCTATTTTCAAAACTTTTTAGGGCCAGTTCAGACTACCCTTTTATTCTAAGTCTAGTTTAAGCTCATTATATAAGGCATGACCCTTCTGGAGTCTTAATGCCATGGACATTCAACAAGGATCCTTCATTCAGTTGGCTAGAATTCTAATATCTCTCAGCCCTGAGTGAGCTCTGTCAATTTTTCAGTCATTTACTGAATTTACACCTTCCCAGTCATTATTTGTCCAGCTTCATGCAGCTTCACCTGGATGGCTGAGTATTTAGCCAAGGACTCTGGGGACCCCAAGGCAGAGTTCTGGTGTTCTTTGAGCAGTTTCTTCCTCGTGGATACTCGGCCCCTCAAATTAGTTGCTTTAGCTTCTCCAAATTCCCAGTGCTGAGTCTTCCATTTAGTGCCCTGCTTGGGTTCCTCTTCCCTACACTGTGACCCAGAAAGTGGCTCCACGCAATAAGCCAGCACAACCACAGAACTGACTTTCTGTTCACTCAGGAAGCACAGTCCTCCACGGCCTGTTACCCAGTGTTTCCAAACTGTGCCTTTACGTGGTCTGTCCATGTTCCTAGTTATTTATGGTGGGAGAATAAGTCTGGCCTCAGTTATTCCATCACAACCTGAAGCGGAAGAACTCCCCATATTGTTTGTCTGGAAGCAAAGACCCTCTAGAACTTATATTCACTGCGTTTATAAAAATGTATTTATTTATTTTATTTTATTTTTTTGAGGTGGAGTCTCACTCTGTTGCCCAGACTGGAGTGCAGTGGCCGCTCCCAGCCACCGCAGCCTCGACCTGCTGGGCTCCGGCGATCCCTCTGCCTCAGCCTTCCAAGTAGCTGGAACTACAGGTGCACACTACCACACCCAGCTAATTTTTTTGATTTATTGTAGAAATGAGGTCTCGCTAAGTTGCCCAGGCGGGTCTCGAACCCGCGGGTTCAGGCAATCCACTCACCTCGGCCTCCCAAAGCTCTGGGATTACAGGCTGAGCCACTGAGCTCAGCCATAAAAATGTATTCAAACACATTTTTATTTTTTCCTGTATCAAGTTCCCATTTCTAAGAAACCCACCTATAACACATTCCATTGTCAAAAATTGCTGTGGCTATTCCTGAATATTTACTTGTCTCTATTATCCATTAATAATCATCCACATAATCCATCTCCCCCAAACTTACCAGAACATCTGATAGAGATGAAATTAATAATATAGATTAACTAGAGTAAACGGACCTTCTCCACAATATTGACCCTTCCATCTCTCCTATCCCAGTACAAAGTATATCCCTTTTCAGTCAAAGTCTTCTTCAATGCACTTTAGTGTCATTAAGTTTTCCAAACAGGCCCTATATATCTTTTACATTTATTGCTCAACATTTCATTGTTTTTGCTAATTGTCTGAAAGGGATCCTGTTTTTCAAGATCTCTTCAAACTAATGATGGTCTTTACAAAGGAAAACTGATTATTTTTATGTTAATTCTGTACCCAATCAAATTATCAAGCACTATTAGTAGGTCTAATGAGTTCTCAGGGAATTCCCTCATTTTTTGCCCCATCCTTCATTTGAGAGGATAGATATTATATATACAGGAAACATGCCCACAGTTGTTCATATGACAAAAATCTTTCTTTCAAATACCACCAAACCTCCCTTTGTGGAACCAGAATATACTTCCAGTATTAGTGGCTTTTCTCTCTTCCTAGAATTCTCTTCCCCCAGGCACTTCTAAACCCTCCCTCCCTTTATTGAGCTCAAAACTAAAATGTCATCTCCTCAGAGAAGCCTGCCCTGACTTCCCGAATGAAAATACCCCCTTCCACCTTCTCTATCATCTCTAGCCCTGATTTCGTTTTCATAGCTCTCCTGAAATAGTTTGCCTCCAGTGCCCAGAAAAGTACTTGATAGACAGTATGTGGTCAATACTTGTCCAAGGAATACATGAATGAAAAGAAGAGACAGCTACATAGGATCATCAGAACAAAGAGTCCCCCAAGAACAGTCTTCCCCGTTCTGGTGCCACCCTACCTAGAACTCCCCTTAAGGGTATAGCTTCCTTCCGACTGCCTCCATAAAATGTGACCACCCTATGAGATGACCACATAAATCACCAGTCAATAACAACTTGGTAGAATCATTTCGTTTATGACATTCTTTCTTCCATGATAACAAGTTCTCCTGGCCAAGAACACCTGGAGTTCCATGTAAAGGAAAAAATATATAAGGAGTCTTCCAGAAACAAACGACTCTCCTCTTTTCCCCAGTATTAATGACATCTGTTCATCAGCACAAGGTAAATATATACCCCCTGTGTCCTTGGTGGCTTCCCTCATAGGGTTAAATGCCAACAGGACAAAACAATAAGGCAGAGAAAGCTATGAGGAAGAAGCAGCCTTCAGGAACTCACGTGAGGGGCAGCAGTTCCCCAAGTCCCTGAAGGCGCTACTGAATCATACCTGGAGGTGATCACAGAGAGGGTGAAACTTGAAAGAAGAAACAGACATTGACTATAGGAACAAAGCACGTTCTTCAGCTGCGGCTTCTCTTAATGGACTTTGAACCAGTTTGGGAATTCAGATACAAAAGAAACATTTCGGAATTACTGAGTCTGCTGACAAAAGAAAAGCAGTACCTTCGCTTTATCCTATTCCCACTGAATCTGCCCACGGTCGATCTGGATCTTAGAAGACTGAACAGACACCAAGCAAGCAAGGAAAAGAATCCAGACTCCAGGACACACAGACTCATGTCCTAACTTGTTGCTCAAGCATGGCATTATACCATTAGACTGGTACAAAGCATTGGTAATAGCAGCATCTTTCACAGAAAATAGAAGAACAGTTTTTAAATGCAGAAAACTCTCCATTGTCCTACCTCATCTCTAACCAAATATTGTCCATTATTATGACAGCACCATCATATTATTATTTAAATCGCTTCCAATACCCACTCTTTACTGAACGGTGGGAATAAAAGCCAGGACCTAGAAACGTCCATGTATTTCTGGCACTGTTATTTTCTAGTCCCATCTTATTCTTCAATGTTATTGGTAAAAAGAAAATAACCAAATATGCTAATGCTTCAAAATTCAACATATAAAATTTGGAAACCCGAATTTATTTTCTGACTTACTAATTATCTAAATTTATAAGGGTATATATGAGATTAAAATATGATGGATCTCCACACTGATTTAGATATAATAGAATAACCAAGAAACAAAGACGACAAGTAAAGCAGATATAAAAGTCTAATAATTTAAGACGACTCTAATTTGGGTACTGAGGTGTAATGTATACTTAAACCATAATCTAATGGATTTTATCAGGGATTTAGATTTATCTCTGAACTAATAATACAGGATTCCTTCTTTCTATTTCTTTCCTCCTTCCAGGTTCATTCTAATATATGCATGCTCCATCAATTCAGGTGAGCCCTGAAGTACCTTCCTTAACCTTTTATTTATCTAAATAATATGAAGATACATGACATGTACTTGTACAATTTCATGTGCTATACATTTCTACTCCTACTCTCAAATATCTGCTTCCCATTAATTTCAAAAGTAATTCATGCACTGATTTCTATCAGCAAAACAGAAATGTAAGACATTGAATGCCTAACCTCGTGATTTTCTACTCCATTGCTGGAAAGCTCCAAAACAGAACCTCCACTGTCAACCACTGCTGATGTCATTGTTTATTCCCTGAGGAAGCTTCAAACACTATTAGTCAATGTAATTAAGGTTCACGGATGATTGCCAGGGTTATAAGTTTGCATTATCATGTTTTAGAAGTCAATAGAGATGGAGTGGTGTAGATATCCAGAAATCCAGTCTTCTAAGGATGATTAACCAGAGAGCCTAAAAAGAGAAAGAATATGAAAAGTTATTACGAATGTATAGGAAGAATGTAAATAAAGCATAACTTATTTTGCAATCTAGTTTTTAACATTGCTTTAACTAAGAAAAAGAAGATAAGCTTCTACAATCCCCACAGAGCAGTAATGAACATTCTACTTAAGAGTTAATATTCAAGTTCATGAACACACTGAGCAAGGTCTTACCTAGCTATTGTATACCAGTGATATTATGATATTTACATTCTAGGAGATAAAATGTTAATTTCCTCCCTTTAAGAAGATGTAGTTTTATTCCTGAAATGTTAAAAATATTCTATACATTGAACACAAAATGTATAGACTGAGTCAACATCTTAAACTATTTGCCTATTTAACAAATTAAAAGATTTATTGATTTGTAAATATTTCATTCTTCGTTAGCTCATTTGGTTTGTCTGAATCATATAATCAGAACTATTGTTTGCTTATGGCAATAATCTCATGTTTTTTATTCACACTTTTCATACTCTGCAAGAAATATAAGAGAGATTAATTTGAGTTGCTTATACTTTTTTTTTTTTTTGAGTCAGAGTCTTACTCTGTCACTCAGGCTGGGTTGCAGTAGCTTGCTCATGGTCACCCCGGCGTCAACCCACTGGGCTCAGGTGATCCTTCTGTCTCAGCCTTCCAAGTAGCCGGAACTACAGGCACACACTACCACACCTGGCTAATGTTTTTATTTTTATTGTAGAGATAATGTCTCACCAAGTTGCCCAGGCTGTTCTCAAACCCATGGGCTCAGGCAATCCCTTCACCTCAGCCTCCCAAAGTGCTGGGATTACAGGCTGGAGCCACCACGCCCAGCCGAGTTGCTTATACTTTCAAAAAAGTAATTTTAAAGTAAAGTAGTGAAACCACTTGGAATGTCTTTGATATCATTTTATCACTTTCCTCAATAATTATTTTGCTATTAGCTCAAAACGCAATATAACAAATAGTTTCAAGTAAACTCTTAACCTAACCTCTTACACTTTTTTTCCCCTTGTGGAAATTAATGTCAATATGTGTATCATCTGGATGTATGCATTAATATTCCTAAAAAGCTACTTTTTATTTGATTTTATATTAAAATGTTCATACAAAAGTTTATTTCTAACAGAATATTTTTCATGTCAGAATTAAAGAATGCAGAAAAATTAAGCATATTTTAAGAGAAAAGAATACATACTTCTCATAAATCATTCCATTAATATTAAATCCTCATATTAAGTTTGACTACTGGCATCATACAGACATAAAAATAAAATAATAAAGAATTTCCATAAGCGTCTATAATAAAATGAAATACCTGAAATAAAGCATAAGTTTCATTTCACTACCAAAGACTTATCTTTGTGATCTTACAAACATAAAATAGAATAGAAAATATCCGTATCTTAAGAAGAATCCAGTCCCATCACACTATACATGTAAAGTAATATAAAGTTAATGACTACTTCCAAATTCTCCTTTCTAAACATAAACATATATATAAACATATAATAACAGCAGAAATAAACTTTACTCACAATGTGAACATTAAGTAGTCTAAGCATCCTTCTCTATTTTCACAAACTGGCAAGAGCTAAAATCTGAACCAGCAGTTCCTCGGAACTACTAACAGGAAGGGAAAAAAAGACAGTATTAATATAATTCTATCAAAAAGCATTTTGCCCAGAATAGGTATGACTCAGATTTTAAATACTTATTAAAACAAATCATCGTCTTAGTTTTATATACTTTGGGTTCTATTTATAATGGAACATATGTGTCTAAGTGCTCTGTTTTCTTAATGGGTGGAAATTTTAATACATATTAAACATCTTCAGATAAATCTTAAAAAATAAATAAATAAAACAAATCATCTCCAAAACTTGTTGACACATAGTCTCATAATGAACATAATAAATAAATTATTTCCAGGTTATTAAGGAATTGGAAGTTTTTACCAAACTTAAAATTTTAAGTCACCACTAAGTAACAATTATTGACTAAGGACAGATTCAATATACACAGACTATTATAGACTACATTTCAAACAACCAATAGGTTTTTAATAAGTGGCTGCAGGTACAACCCCTGCTCCCCAGGAGTATAAAATAAAGTTTGAAAAAAAAGACTAGACGAAAAAACTACTACCAAACAAGGTTAAGGATATATGATTGCCTACTAGACACCTTCCTGCTACCTCAGCCCCCAGAATTCACCTCAACACACATTCAAGCATTCCAAGCCCAACTTCTAACTTCAAAGCTCCTCAAGTATCCCTCCTTCTTTCTTTCTTTTTATTTATTTATTTTAAAGATGTGGGGTACAATTCAGGGTCAGGTATACAAATGGTCACTGCCCTCCTTTTTTCAAAGGCCAGTGTACTGACTTATGCACTGGACCTTAAGCCTTTCACCATCAGTTATTCCCTATTTTTCTTAACATTCTTTTACTCTCTCGCTCATCTTAAAAATGGAAAAGTCCTCTTCCACAATCTTGCATACCTCTCCAGCTACTGCTCTAGCTCCTTTCTCAGATGCAATTCTAGAAAAGAAATGTTCTATTCTGTCTACACTTCCTAATTTCTCAAGTATTACTCCTCTGACACAGTCGCCATCCACCCCTATTCAAAGGAAATTGTTACTAAATTCTGCTTGTCGAATTCAATGGATACATTTCTGTCTTCCCAGGCGCCTCCAAAGCACCAGGCACTGTTAATCACTGCCTTCTTGAAACTCTACCTTGAATGTGCCTTCTCCTTCCCTAGCTACTTCTTTTCAATTCCCTCTTGCAGGCTCAATCCTAATTGTCAAGAGGCTTGGGGCAAGAAGCCTATGTATAGAAGCCTATGTATTATATGCCCCAACATTTTAAATTTATACGTCAAGCTAACAGGGAAGCTGGACCCTCTCCCCTGGCCAGCAGCCTGCTACCTTTCTCTTCTCACCTGGAGCTCCACTCCATCCTACAAGGGGTCTTATATGCATGCACGTGGACATCCCTGCCATAAGTCCAAGCTCTGGTCGCAAGCCTGCCCACGGTTGCTCCTGGGCCATCCCTTGGACCCACGTGGTACAGTCAAAAGAGGAGAGAATAAGGAAAGGACCTTATGAAGGGACACAAGGGCAGGAAACTCTAGGATCCAAGTACTCAGAGACTGATCGAGAAAGAGTCCGGGTAGACTAGTCACCTTGGCCCCAACATCTTCACTGGATAGGGAGAGTGTAGCTGGAGGAAGGCCAGATGAGGACTTCTTTTTTTTTTAGATTAGAGAATAGATTTATTTGGAAAGCAAATTGGAGAGAGACAGACAGAGATGATCCACCTCCCCAAGGTAGGGGAGGAGGCCAAAGCTCAAGAAAACTTGGCCCGGCCACAGCGCAAAGCGCACACCATAGCTTACCAAGGCAACGGCAAAAAAAAACCAGATGAGGACTTCTAAAGCTTAGGCCCACGAGCAGAGTTCCCACTTGGCCATGTCCAAAGGCACTGCTGCTCTCTGGTCAGCCCTTGCGTAAGGGTGTTTCCAGGGTCCTATCCCTAGCCCTTTTCTGACTCTTTAAACTATCTGTAGGGGATGACATCTGCTCCTATGACTTCACTCAAATCTCTCTTTCTGTCTAAGCCAGTCCCATGGGCTCTAGTTGGTCTACCAGGCACTTTCCTGCCCCCACTTCTTCGTGAAGTTAGATGTGATATAAATAAACAGTAAGCAGCTATTCCAGGATAAGTAACACAATAAATATCAAATGAGCATTATGATATGTTAGCACAATAATGCCAGAGGTACAGCAGTAAATAAAGGGAAAGTTCCTGTTTTTATGACTCTCATATTCCAACAGGGAGAGAGAAAAAATAAGCAAACTAGTACAGCATATATGCAGACGGTGATAAAGGCTAAGGGGAGAGATGAACCAAAGAGACAGGCAGTATTTGGCAGGGAGAAGAGGCAATTTCAAGTTGAATAGACAGAGAAGGACTCACTCAAAAGTGGCATGTTAGCACTGAGACCCCAAAATAAGAGTGAGCTATGGCAATGCCTGGGGCCTTCTAGTCAAAAGAAACAGAAAATTCAAGACTCCCGAGAGTAAGTATGCCTGACTAGTTCAAGGATTAGCACGGAGGCTGATGTGGCCGAGGTGAAGTGAGCAGGAGGAAGAATAAATTATGAAGAAGAGCACAGAAAGGGGAGGCCCTCTGTAAGGACTGACTTTTACTTCAGGGAGAAGTTTTACTTCACAGAGAGTTGACCTGATTATGATAAGGATGACTCAGATGCTGGGTTGAGAACAGACAAGGAAACGAGCAGAAACAGAGAGATCAGTTAGCAGGCTACCGTAATAATCAGGTGAGAAGTGATACTGGCTAGAACCAGAATGGTAGTTCAGGAGGCAGTGAAAAGTGGTCAACCTTTAGATATGTTTTGCAGGTAAAAGGACATGATTTGCTAGCAAATTGGATGTAGACTGGATTGGTATGAGAGAAAGAGAGGAGTCAGCAATGAATCCAGGCTGGTGTTTCCTCGCAAGATGGTGAAGTAGGATGCACCAGAAATCTGTCTCCCCAGCTAGGCAACAACTGCACTGGCAGAATCTGCCTGATGTAACTGTTCTCAACCTCTGGAGGACACTGAAGGTTTGCAGCATTCAAGGGAAGTTTGGGCGGTAAACTGTGGTTAATTTCAGACATTCCAGCTCTCAGCACAGTATCAGCTACCCATCCCACTCAACCTACAGGAGGCAGCTGTGCATGTGTTCCTGGTGCAGTCTGCATGCAGCTCATGAGAGCCAAGTAAGCAAAAAGGACCGTTTTCCAAATAATGAAGATCTGATCACTGATTATTGCTTTGGATCACAGAAGCGCTAAGTGATGGGTAGCCATTGTTAGGGTGCTTCCCATCATTGTTGCAAGCTCCTCACTGTCCCCCCCAAGTCACTTCTAGGGAACTTAAAGTGCCAGCACCCTTCCCTCTCCTTTCTTCCCCTGTTGGGAGCCAGACATCAAAAACTAGGAAAAAAAAAAAAAGTCTGGGCACAGCAGCTCATGCCTGTAATCCAAGCACTTTGGGAGGTCAAGGTAGGAGGAATACCTGAGCCCAGGAATTGGAGACCAGCCTAGGCAACATAGCAAAATCCCACCTCTACAAAAATTTTAAAAATTACTGGGCATGGTGGTGCATGCCTATAGTCCCAGCTACTCAGGAGGCTGAGGTAGAAGGCTTGCCTCAGCTCAGGAGATCGAGGCTACGGTGAGCCACAATCGTACCACTGTACTCCAACCTACCAGACAGAATGATACCCTGACTCAAAAAACAACAGGCCATGTTTTCTTAAGCCTCGGCCCCCTCCCCTCCCTTGAGGAGGTGAATCTCCTCTTTCTCTCTCTAATTTACTTAATAAATAAACTATATTTTCTAATCTAAAAACAACAACAACAACAAACAGAAAGAAAAAACTGCATATATAGAAAAAAGTAGAAAGTGATCACACATGCCCAAGGAAAGGCTCAGGCTCAGAGAAGACCTTAAGTATACATTCCAGGCTGATCCTTGATACAGAGTCAGTCTACAAAAATGAAAAATGAAAAAACCTAAAGACAATAAACAAAAATGATAATTAAAAAAACAGCAAACCCTGGGGAAGGAGTAGAATCTGATTTCCAGGATTACCACATTATTAGATTCAAATGTCCAGATTTCAACAAAAACTCACAAGGCATATGAAAAAGCAGAAAAGTATGGCCCACTCAAAGGAAAAAAATATATATATAAATAGAACTCTCCCTGAAAAAGACCTGACTGTTGGTTAATCTATCACATAAAGACCCTAAAACAACTGCCTTAAAGATGCTCAAAGGAAGTTGTGGAGAAAGTCAAGAAAACGCTAGATGAACAAAATGGAAATAAAAACAGAAAATCCTAAAAGAAACCAAAAGGAAATTCAGGAGCTGAAAAGTACAATGACTCATAAGAAAAGTTCACTAGAGAGATTCAAAGGCAGACTCGAGCAAGTAAAGAAACAGTCAGTAAACTTGAAAAACAGGAAAATAAGAGTTACTGAGTCTAAGGAAAAGAAACAAAAAAGACTGAAGAAAACTAAACAAAGCCTAGAAGATTTGTGGGACACCATCAAGCAAACCAGCATATGAATTGTTGGGATTCCCAATGGAAGAAGAGAAGAAAAGAGACAGAATATTTGAAGAAATAGCTGAAAACTTCCCAATTTGATGAAAGACATGAATGAAAATATCCAAGAAGCTCAACGAACCACAAGATGATCTCAAAGAGACCCACATCAAAACACGTTATAATCAAGCTTTCAAAAGCCAAACACAAAGAGATTCTTGAAAGCAACAAGAGAGAAATGATTTGTCACATACAAGTGCCACTCAATGCGATTAACAGCAAATGTCTCATCAGAAACACTGGAGACCAGAAGGCAGTGAGCCGATATATTCAAAGTGCTAAAAGAAAAAAACTGCAGCTGGCAGCAGTGGCAGGTTTCTGTAGTCCCTATCTGGGAGGCTGAAACCAGAGGATTGCTTGAGCCTATGAGTTTAAGCCTAGCCTGAACAATACAGCAAAATTCTGTCTTTAAAAATAATAATAATAATAATAACAAATGAAAAGGAGAGAGAGAAAAAGAAATCTGCTAACAA